CTGGATAGAAGTGCAAAACACCCAAACCCAAAATAAAACTAGGAGGGCAACTTGTGCACAATCCATGTTTTTTTTTTTTTTTTTTTCCTTCCCTCATCAGGGGACAGCTAAATATATTTTCTCTGACCTCCCATATTTTAATTGGGGTTTTCAAACCTTTGATAACTACTGTACCGAAACGGGTTAACAAATGTGAAATATCAAAAAAGCCTGGAAGGAAGTCTGTGTACATACTACATTCCAACCCAGAAAATTTAGGTTCCCTAACAGTAGGGAAAATACATTGGGCTGGACTTTGGTTGTAAGGTTACATGGCAGTGGGACTTGCTAGGGTGACATGGATCACACCTGATCACTTAACCAGATGGGTGACAGCCAATGGAGTGGGATGTAAGGTTACAAACTGAAGTTGTATGGCGATGGAATTTTTTTTTCACTTCCTGCAGTCTAACTCGTTTATATTCGGAGCATTCTTCTTAAGATATGCTGCCGAAGGCCAAGTGAAGAGAGATTCATCAGAGTATAGAAAGGGAAACGGCGTATGCTTGAAATGGCAATTGAAGATGCTGAAAAGGTGGAGTGATGCGTTGCGTAGAGTCTCTGAGGATGATCCAAAACAGCTCGGTCGCTGGTTAGGGTCAGTTGGCAGCCGTACTTCCGGTTTCCGGCTGATTGAACATCGCTTATGCAGTTTCATCTGGTTAGCATCACTTGAAAAAGCAGGTATGAAAAAGCGTGCTGTGACTCGAAGGACACTGTTTTGGGAAGCAAAGAGAGTTGCTCTGAAGAATCATTCTGATTTGGTTTCTGAAAGATGTCTGCGTGTGATATCATGTTTATCCTTGTGCGCCGTTTTTCACCTGTGGAATGTGCAGATTCACCCAGATCAGTCTTATCACAGATTGTTTGGCACAAAGGTAGAGATAAAACTGATGAAGGCGGAGGCCGTCCACTGGAAGGCGTTAGACTATTCCGCTCGCACAGCAGTGTTGCAGCCTGTCAACGTGTCAAATGGTGAGTGATGCATTGGATCTCTAGACTGTTCTGGGAATCCACGGTAATTTGAATTTCACATTGATATCAGACTCTTGAACATCTGTAAGATTTGGTTGACCCAGTCCTTCATCCGTTTGGGTTTTATCTGGACAAAAACCCAAATGGCCCAAGTATGTAATTGTCTCCGTGATAATGAATTTAACAAGAATCCCATCTTTGCAATGTACCCCTACCGGACACTGCCCAACTTTGCAAAATGCCCCGGCAGTTGCTAAGTTTTTGCACACACACACGAAAGAAAAAAAAACAAAACAAAGTGTATATTTCCATGTTCTAGCGGTAGATTCGTTCGATTTTGCTGAAGTACACTCTCTCTCTCTCTCTCTCTCACACACACACACACACACACACACACACACACACACACAAAAGTCCGATGAAACAGTCTGGTACAGTCATGCTTTTTTTGAGTGTATAGCGAATATGACAACACACACACACACACACACACACACACACACACACACACACACACACACACACACACACACACACACGTTTAGTAGTGTACATTTGGATGTTCTAGCGGAAGATTCATTCAATTTTGAATATCGATGGAAGTAGTGTGAGGCCAGCCGCGGGGTTGGAGACTTACCTGTTGGCCAGTGCGTTGCTCAACCAATCAATGGAAATCTCTCTCTCTCTCTCTCTCTCTCTCTCTCTCTCTCTCCCGCCCCGCACGAAAGGACGCCACCTCGCCTGTCGCCTCACTGCTTGTGAATTCATGGCATGCCACTTCCCACTTCTCCCTGCCCGTCACGTCGCTTCAGCCCCGCACTCCTCGACATCTGACAAATCCCGCTCCACGCGAGCAGAAGACGACCTGGCTCGTCCGCGGCCGGACCGATTTCTCTTCTGCCCGCCCGTGCCGGGATTTTTCTGCCCCTTGCCCCGGGTTCCACCGGTTCCCCCTTACCCACTGCCCGTCACTGGTCCTGCGCGTTGCCGCCCGGTTTCTGTTGGGACCCAAGCGAGGACTGCTGTTTCCTTTAGTAGTATAGGGTAAGAACTAGATAGCAACAAAGTTGTTGAGGTGTGCATAAGTTTGGTGTTTCTGCACCTCCTTCATAGCTCAATCCGTAGTACTAGAGGAAGCAGATTGAGAGTCTGTCTCAGTGCCCTGACTGATACGTTTCCGTGGAGGCGCGTCTCTTTCTCTTGCACTGGCATGGCTCTCGCTCTCCCTGGCCGCTCAAGCAGCCCTGTGCTCCTTCATTGCTTGCTCTTGCCCCTTGATGTAAGTCGTACTTACTGTCTCACACCCTTCAGCCGTGCCTCCAAAAAACACCACCGTGCTAGTGAAATCAATCCCTGCTTGAGTGCTGAGCAGCACGAAGGTCATAGTTCCTCTTGTTCTTGCTTTTCACTGATTTCACGTAATCTGTGCTCAATCCTGCCAGCCTTTTGGCCCATGCCTCAAAGAATGGTAGTCTTATCACTCTGTGCCCTCTGCTGTACCTATGCTAACGGTGAAAATCATCTCTTCAGGTCAGGCATGACCATCTGAAGGGAGTTGATGAAACGCTATGGGCACCGTTGCTGCTTGTTCTTGGTGGTCTGGGCCAGTGGCTAACCACAGTAAAACTTGTCACCATCAGCACAAAGACCATCGGTATATAATTTTGACTCAAATACAAGACAGAAGACTCAGACTTCTATGCGTTTATCTTGTATTTGTGTTCCTGAAGCAGATCAAGAATGGTCTTCAGATGCTGTTGGTGTACCTCAAGTGGTTTATTGAAGATATATTGCCAAGGTGCCTACACCCATTTTATTCATATGCCCTCCAAAGATGTCAATCGTTGCTCTCCTTGTGCAGAGCATAAACTTTCACAAATTTCCTGTTGCACATTGGTCTTGGAGGTAACGTTTCAACTGTGAACTCTGTTTACGGGTTTGTCGTTTGGCAGATACTTTGCGGGTTGTGTCTAAGTTTTGTTCAGACTCTTCACGTGGAGAGAGAGAGAGAGAGAGAGAGGGCTGAGGGGAGTATCAAGTGATATGATCCTATGAGATGATGTGTATGGAGAAGAGCTGACCTCTGCATTATACGCATTCATTCAACATAAGCTTCTTCACTTTGTGTGAATCATCCTCTGTAACATTGTAATGCATCACCTAAGTTGAATAGAAATGGCAGATCGTCAGAAGTCCACAGTGTCCGTGACAATGACCACAAGTCAGCACCATTAGTTTGGCACAATTCTAAAGGTAGACATTCAGTTTGCTCAGAAGGGTCACATATTGCAATCCTCACTTTTATTCTGTTACTTGCACTGATGCCCTGTCTGCATGGTTTTCTTGGGCAGTTGCAAAACCTGTGCCGAAGTACCCGAGCTCGTCAAGGAGAACCCATGATTGGGACAAAATGGTTGTGGATATCAAGAAAGAGGTATGTTCTGTTGTATTTTCTTCGCCCCGGTGTGTGGTGTGCATTCAACTTGCTGGTCCTCTCTCTCCCCTCGCTCGAGATTGAATCTTCTTCGGTTTCCTTCCCAACAATCATTCGCCAAAGGTGGTGTCAGGGATTGAAATGGACTTCACGTTGTATCCAGTGAACTGTCCCATCCTCGATGCCAAGGCATTCATTGAACCCGCCCACTTGCGCTCTTCACAGAGACTAAGGCAGCGTGGCAGGGGATGGTTCCCATATATCAGTCACCTGATGAATATTCAGTGCAGTTTTTTTATCCGAGCCATGTAGTCTGGCTGGATATCCGGAACTGGATGACTGTGCTGCCAATGCTTTTTCTTATCTATTCCTCCACCTGTGTGGTGCAGTGCACTGTATTTTGTTGTGTGCTAATTCTTGGTGAAATGCACTGTAGTTTACTGTTTTCTTGTTAGCCAATTTTTCATCATCAGTCGGTTTCCCTCTATCGTGCCTATATTTCCTCCTAGTTTGGATGTCGTGAATCTTTTGATAATTTCTTTTTTTGTTTGTCTGGGTTTATATATAACGTTTTGGGGTAGCATCCCAGCCAGAAGTCACTCAAAATGACATTTGACATTGCCTATGATCTTTTTCATGGCTACGGCGGACTTAAGACCCGGACATTTACGGACATCTGTTTGGACACACGTCTGGACGTGTCCAGACATTTGAACATGCCTGGTTCCACACTGTTTGGATTGATGTTCCAAATGTCCGGGCTTAAAAAAAAAAAAACAAAAAAAAACAGTGATACGCTGACAGCATACATGGAAGGGCAAAGGGGGTGCGACATTGTCCGTTTGTCCGGTAAAAAAAAACAAAAAAAACAAAAACAAGACAAAACAAACAAACAAACAAAAACAAAACAAAACAAAAACCGGCACACATGACACACACACACACACACACACACACACAGAGGTTTGTGGGAGTGGTCCAAGTTGAACTGTTCGCTTGCCTGTCTGCCTAGAGCCGTCTGCTTGTCCCGTTGTCAGACCCCCTCCCATGTCACCCTCCCCCTCCCCCTCCGTCCCCCCTCGTCTCGATCCCGCGATGCCAAGAATGGCACTGAAATCTAGAAAATGAGTGTAGCACCTGACCCAAAATCTGCAATTGAGGTATATCGGGTACTACATCCTCGTTAGTTTTTGCGAAAACTGTAGATAGATATAGGAGATAATTCATAACTCTGTAAGAAACGAGAAAGTCACTTCTAACACACTGACACATACACACACCTGCACATAGTTGCTACATATAGTGTTACAAACTCTCTCTCTCTCTCTCTCTCTCTCTCCTGTCTCTTATACACATCTAGATGTGTATAAGAGACAGGTGCAAAGCCAAAAGGAATGAGTAGAGGTTCAGG